CAAGATTCTAATTTTTCTTGGTGCTGATCTTTTCATGTGCTGAATAAGTACTGTGCTGAACATTCGGGTACTAAAGATTCCGTGCTGAAAAACCCGTGCTGAAAATTCCGGTGCTGAACGTTCACCAATCCGAGAAAAACTATTTCATCAGTTGAAATCTAAATGTTCAATCTAGAATAATTTAGTAGAAAACTGCTTACATGTCATGATGCTAGCTCATTTCTCAAAGAGTGAATTTTTCGAAGATTCCTAACTAAATTATACATATGCTACAATTTTTGCATATAAGTATGGGGTAATTTTTTCCATAAAACATCACAATCTTATAAATAAGATATAGACACTTATGCACATATTTAATACAATTATTGTTGATGTGTTTTATTTCTGAAGGAATTGTGAAACTGCACGGATCTCAAACAGTATGTTTAAAAACTGCGCCGATCAGATTTTTATATCTTGAGAGTGGCTGTAGGTGTGGGTGTAGTCAGAAGAGCATTTATCAACATCTACACTCACATGCATAACCAACTCTTTACTTTAGAATTTTCAAATAAAAAATTATTTAATTTATTAACAAGAAAATTTTTTAATGAACTATATTTAAATCATCGAAATAAAAATGATTCTCATTTAAAAAGGTTTTCCTAAATGAAACTTTTATGAAAATCAAATAAATAAGTTTTGATTAAAAACGTAAAGAGATTGTTTAGAATTAATTTTATTTATTAAAAATTAAGTGTAGCAAAAAGAAAATTTAATTTTTTTAAAACAAATTCAAACACAATTTTCTCTTCTTATTTTCGTCTTTTTTTTGATTTAAAAATAACAAAAAAAGATCTTAATAAAAAGAAAATCTTTTATTTTAGCAGAAATTCAAGCAAAAAAGAATACATTTCAACAATACGCAATTACTGTTGCTGGAGGAAATGAAGCAGGACACAAATTAAATCAACTCTCTCAGCCTCGTGGGATCTTTATTGATACTGATAAATCAGTTTATATTGCTGATTTTCTTAATGATCGTATTGTCAAATGGAAATTGAATTCATATAATGGTCAAATCATTGTAGGTGGGAATCAATATAATCAATTGAATCATCCAACAGATATCATTTTTGATAACAAAAACAATTCTTTTATTATTTCTGATAACACGAATAAACAAGTAATTCGATATTTTGATAAAAATCAAACAAACCAACAAATTCTAGTTTCAAATATTAATTGTTCTGGTCTGACAATCGATAAAAATGGATCTATTTATGTTTCTGATTGTGAGAACAATGAAGTAAGACGATGGAAGCAAGGAGATAAAAAAGGTGAATTAGTTGCAGGTGGAAATGGTAAAGGAAACCATCTTAATCAACTCAGTTTCCCTACTAATATCTTTATTGACGAAGATTATTCTCTATATATATCAGATTCTTCGAATCATCGTGTAATGAAATGGAAAAAAGATGCAAAAGAAGGAATTGTTGTTGCTGGTGGAAATAGTAGAGGAAATAGTCTTAAACAATTGGCTAATGTTGAAGGAGTGATTGTTGATCGTTTGGGTAAAATCTATGTGGCAGATTATTGGAATCATCGAGTAATGCGTTGGTGTGAAGGAGATAAAGAAGGTGAAATTGTTGTTGGTGGAAATGGTGAAGGAAATCAATCAAACCAATTGAATGGTCCCATGGGATTATCATTTGATAATGAAGAAAATCTGTATGTTGTTGATCGTTACAATCATCGAATCCAAAAATATGAAAAAATTTTAAATTAAAAATATTTTAAATTTCATTTGATAAAATTTCTATTTTTATTTTTGAAAATAAATAAGAAGACATTAGTTCATGAGAAGTCTTGAAAACAATAGATCAATAAAACTTCTTTTAATAAAATAATCAAATCTGTTTTTCATTTTTAGAAAAAAAAGTAAAAAAAATTTGTTAATTTTAATTTTGAAGTCGAAAAATAAAATAAATGGAATAATTCGAATAGAATTTTTCTAGAAAAACTCAAATGAAATATTTTCCAAATTGATAAAAACATTTAAATTAACAAAAACAAATCTTGTAAATAGAAACAAATTGTTTTTTTTATTAGATTTATTTTTTGTGATTTTATAATTTATTGAGAGAAATGGAAGAGTGAAGAAAAAAAATAAATGAATAAGAATGAAATCTATCCAAATCGAAAAAATTAGATTACGAAACACTATTTTTGAAAAAAAGACTACTTTTACATTTAAATATTAGTTTACATTTTATCTCAATTCTTTAGCTTATTTTTCTTTCGAAACTATTTTTTGGTTTCATTTAAATGAAAATGTTCATTGATTTATTTTGAAATTCCAAATAAAATTACTTTTTGTTGATTTCATTTTGATAAATCATTATTCAATTCAATGTTTATTAGTTTATTAAAGAAAAATCTTTTCAACATGTATTCTGTTCAACGAAATCCATTACAATTCGAGTTTTACTATCAAATTTTTATAAAAAAATTCTCAAATTTTATCAAATCGAATAAACAAAAAACATTTGATTTTTTTCAGCAAATAAAAATATTCAAATAGAATTTTATCAAACACAGAATCTATTCGAATACTTTCTATTTAATTTAATTCAAAGTATAAAATATTTTCTTTTCTTATGTTTCACAAAATCCAATAAAAAATGAAGAATTTAATGTTTATTTGTTGGAATTTTTTAATCTAAAATATCAAATTAAATTCAATGTTCAACAAAAAAATCTACAAAGATATTTCTTCGTTCTTTTATTCAATAAAAACGTTTTTCTTTTTCAAAATCAAAAATTTCATTCACAAAATTATTTCAAATTTCTGAATTCGATGATTCCAATAATCAGCAACATAAAGATTTCCATCATCATCAAAAGATAAACCTGTGGGACCGCTCAGTTGCTTTGATTGATTTTCACGACTACTTTCACCAACAACAATTTCACCTTCTTCTTTTCCTTCACGCCAACGCATTACTCGATGATTCTCAAAATCTGCCACATAGACTTGACCCAAATCGTCAACAATTACTCCTTGAGGTTGATACAATTGATTGATATTTTTTCCTTGACCATTTCCTCCAGCCACAATGCTTCCTTCTTTTGCACCTTTTATCCATTTCATCACACGACTATTGTCTTTATCTGAAACATAAAGAGATTGATCTTCATCAACAAAGATAAAAGTAGGAGAATTCAGTTGATTGAGCTGATCTCCTTTTCCGTTTCCACCTGCCACTATAATTCCTTCGTTGTTGAATTGTCCCATTTTCCATCGTCTCACTTCATTCTTCGCAATATCAGAAACATAAAGAAATCCATTTTTATCCATTGCCAAACTCCAACAAAATATATTCTGAATAAGAATTTGCTGAGTTTGATTCAACCATTGAATCACTCGTCCGTTCAAAGAATCAGCAATGATGATCGAATGATTTTGTTGATCAACAATCACATCTGTGGGTAGATTCAATTGATCCATTTTGTCTCCTTCGTCATTTCCACCTGCAATGATTTGTCCTTCTGTTGCATTATATTTCCATTCAACAATCCGATGATTATCATGATCAGTAATGAAAATATTTTTGTTTTTATCGATAAAGATCCCATAAGGACCACTAAGTTGATTTAATTCTTGCCCTACCTCATTTCCACCAGCCACAGTGATGGCATTTTGATTCCATCTGTTGAATTTTGGTTCTAGAAAGTGATGAAAAGAAAATATTAATTTTGAATGAATTTTTGATTGTATTTTTGTCAAATTCGAATTTTGAATGAAATGTTGATGAAAATGTGTAATGAAAAGACAAATTTTATTTAAAATAATATTTTGTTGTTTTTTTGTATAGAATTTATTAACATGAAATGAAGAGAAACGAAATGAAACTGAAAATAAGAACATTTTGTTGATTTGTTTTTGTTAAATAAAAATTTGAAAAAAGGAAATGTTTACGAATATCTGTCAATAAAAAAACTGATTTGAATTGAAACGTTTGCGCAGGATAAAATAAATTCAAAAAGACTGCGAATACTTCAATTAGAAATAAATTTTATCTTTCTTTTTTTCTTATTATATCACTATTAAAATATTAGAGAAAAAGTAAAATGAGATGATTTATGAAATAAAATAATAATGAAAACGGAAAATATTTAGTTTTCATCAAACTAAAAATAAATTATCTTGAGAGTATTCTTCAAGAGAAAATTCGCTTTTTATCTCAAATAGAATTATTTTCCATTCAAGTACTAAAACTTTTCTTTTGAGAATTTTTGAGATGAAATTCAAATAACTAATTTTTTCAAAAATTTAGATTTTCAACAAACGAAATTTTCCTTTTTTCTTTAAAAATAAATCAGTTCTTCTTCAATTCAATGAAATTTATTATGAATCTCAAACAATTTTTTCTCATTTTCTTTTTTAAATTTAACAAAACAATTTCATTTCAATATTATCTATATATATATAAAGAAGAATGTTTGTCTGTTCGCCATGAATTAAGTCCCTGTAATAGGCTGCGTCACCAAACTTTCCATGGTACTTCCCTAAGTCCATGGGAAGGTCATGAGAGGGTTGGCATCACTAAAAGAGGCGGGGAGGGGCTGGATGAAATTTCACCCAGGTGGTTTTGTCATAGCTAACGTCACCAAACTGTCCACGGCACTTCTTTATGTACAGGAAAAGTCGAGAGGGGGTGAGAGACGGGACGTGGTTGCAATGTGATCCCTCTTTAGAGTATCCATTTATTAATACGTTTTTGCACTGATCTGGTTGTGTTACACAGAAGTGAAGACGATTGAGATGTGAGATAATCACCTTCATACAATATTCGTTAGACTACTGTGCTTTACCGTGGACGTGTGTGTATTCGCGGTAGATAAAATTTTAACCTGACATCTAAGCCTTTTTCGGTCCGAAATGAAGTGGAGATAGAGTTGGAGCGGGATGTGTAAGAAAAACGATGGATTTCGCAGCGGCAACTGTAAGAACACGGGTGGATTTAGAGTGCTCCATAGCTTGAGTTTTTTATTTCAAATATGTATGGCGGGATATGTTATGGCTATAGATAAAAAAATCATGCACAACCTTCTCCGCATTTCCTGTCGTTTTTTGATATATCAGGTTTTTGATCTGTGAGGTTTTGAACTAACACCGGGTAACTCCGCTAATTGATTGATAAAACTGAAAAAAACAACGATTTTTTAATCATATCAAGATGACTTACTCAGTCCTTTTGAAGATTTTGTAATTATATATGGTAATGTAAATATTCCAGTTCCAATCATCAAAATAACAATAAAACTACATATCAATAATTTTAACTGCCAATTACATCGGATATAATTTTTTGATTTTCGTTTTTGTATTCTGTCTAAAATGATAGATTAATATTATATATCGAAAATGTGAAAAAATGTACATGTTTGTTTTACCATTGTAAGTTAATTTATCTATTTCACTTGTCTCAATCTCATTATCATTCAGTTGTATTTTCTCTTTGATTTCCGCTAAAATGTGTCTCAATCGAAGATGTTCTTCATAATCTTTTTCATGAGAAGCAATTTTAGCTAAATCTTTATAAACAGTAAGCAGTAAAGGATCATTTTGTGAAAGTTCATCTAAACAACGATAATAATATTTCTTCGCTAAATCGAGATGTCCC